GACCATTTGGAGTATTTGATAGACAAGCAATCCAAAGAGGTTTTAAGGTATATAGAGAGGTTTGCTCTACTTGTCATTCGGTAAATAGAATGTCTTTTAGAAATCTGATGGAAGTCGGCTTTTCTAAAGAGGAAGCTGACTCAGTAGCATCAGATTATACCGTTGAAGATGAGCCTGACGATTCAGGTTCTATGTTTCAGAGGCCAGCCAAGATTTTTGATCATATACCAGGCCCTTTTGCAAATGAAAAAGCTGCAAGAGCGGCGAATAATGGTGCATATCCACCAGATTTATCGCTGATTATTAAGGCAAGGGAAGGGGGTGCTGATTATGTTTATTCCATACTGACTGGGTATAAAAAAGATGTTCCACCTTCGATTACACTCGGAGAAGGTATGCATTATAATCCATACTTTCAGTCAGGACAGATCGCGATGCCACCTCCGCTTTTATCTGATGGACAAGTTGACTATACAGATGGAACAAATCCAACAGTTGACCAGATGGCCAAGGATGTCGTAAATTTTTTGCAGTGGCTTGCTGAGCCTGAGATGGAACAGCGCAAGTCGCTTGGTGTCAGAGTAATTATATTTACAGCAATATTCACTATCATTGTTTATCTTGCAAAAAGACGTATATGGTCAAGACTTCATAAGCAAGATTAAGTTAATGTATACTGCCCTTCAATGGTATTTACATTTAGTTAGACTTAAAAAAGAGCTAGGAAGAGCAGTGTATATGAGATATATAATGCGCATTCTGACGACGCAAATTTTTGAAATATGACGAATATACATGATGATCTAAGCACGAAATCTACGCATAAATTCTCAAAAGGAAGCACGAGTTTCGAAGGAGATCTACTTAAAAAGCTACATGGCAATTTCTTTTAAATGCATTATAGTGTTCATTTTTAGTATTTGATACTTGCTATTTATGATTGCTTTTATTTTTCTGAGATATATAAATATGATTAAGAATTAATTGTGTATTGTTTATACTACCGCTGCGTCACTACAAGATGCAGAATTTCTTATAAATAAAGTAATGGAAAATAAACTAGCAGCCTGTGTCAATGTGATAGAAAGTGACAGGTCTTATTACATATGGGAAGGAAATCTGCAGTCTGAAGTGGAGGTTTATATTATTTTTAAGACAATGTGTGAAAAATCTGCTGAGCTTTCTGCGCTTATCTTGAGGGAACATACATATAAAACTCCAGCGCTACTGATGTGGAATGTGACAGCTTCGAATGATTTTCACAAGTATGTTACAGATGCTATTCTTAAATAAAGTGTATAAATATATACTTGTGTATTGCGCATACTACCTTTAGCACTATTCTTCCTAGCTCTTTTTTAAGTCTAACTTCGTATGTGCTGAAGTTAAATACTAACTCTTTATGTTAGCGCAGTATATCGATATAGTTTTCGCTTAAATTCTTCCAATTTTGTGGTAGATTGAACCTTTACTTTTTGTATTGCGTATCCAATTTAGAAATTGAGTGATAGAGTCTACCTGATCATCATGCCTTGAGTTTGGAAATAAAAAAAGTTCTTGCTTAAGCTGTATTAACCATTCTGCGTTTTCTGGGGAAAAAATCCGTCCAGATTCAAAAAAGGAAGATACTAACTGCAATCTTAAGGTTTTGTCATATTTTGGTTCTATAGGAATAATATTGAATTCGCTGTTCAGAAATTCCTGAATAATTTGTTGGCCTGAAGCTTTGTCTTCCACCAAAGCTACCTCAGGGTTGAACCTTTTATAGTTATCTATAAACACAAATTTGGCATTTTGATATGCTACCTTGATTCTTAAAATGTCTATTAAGTAGTAACAACGATTCAATACGCCCCAAGTTGTGCATACACTATAGTTTAACTCTCCAGATTTACTGACAAAATTCCAGCTTTGATATATCACATTATATGCGATAGATGTTTGATATCTTGATATCCAATTAGGTTTTATAATGCTATTGCCAAGATTTATTGGCTCTTGTTGGTATTGCGCAGAGAATGCATATAATCCTGTTCCTTTTCGCATTTCCTCAACAGTGGAGTGATCATCTCTAAGAGGATTTAAGATATCTCCTTTTTTTCTATAATGTAGAAATTCACCAAAATTTATCAAAGAATCCTCTTCTGCTATAAGTGGAATTTTTAAATGTGTCCAGTTTGAATATCGGTTAAGTAAAAAATTACATAAATCTTCAGCATGCAATCGTTGCGTTACAACTAAAATAACACCAGATCTTTTATTATTGAGTCTTGAATATAAAGTATTTTCAAACCAGGAGAGAGAGAGAGAGAGAGAGAGAGAGAGAGAGGGGGGGGGGGGGGAGGGG